GGTCCCACTCTCAGCAGATCCCACTCTCAGCAGGTCCCACTCTCAGCAGGTCCCACTCTCAGCGGATCCCACTCTCAGCAGGTCCCACTCTCAGCGGGTCCCACTCGCAGCAGATCCCACTCTCAGCAGATCCCACTCTCAGCAGATTCCACTCTCAGCGGGTCCCACTCTCAGCAGGTCCCACTCTCAGCAGATCCCACTCTCAGCGGGTCCCACTCTCAGCGGGTCCCACTCTCAGTGGACCCCACTCTTAGCGGGTCCAAATCTCAGTGAGTCCCACTCAGCAGATCCCACTCTCAGCAGATTCCACTCTCAGCAGATCCCACTCTCAGCAGATCCCACTCTCAGCGGTTCCAAATCTCAGCAGGTCCAAATCTCAGTGAGTCCCACTCAGCAGGTACCACTCTCAGCTGATCTCACTCTCAGCAAATTCCACTCTCAGCAGATTCCACTCTCAGCGGGTCCCACTCTCAGCAGATCCCACTCTCAGCGGGTCCAAATCTCAGTGAGTCCCACTCAGCCGGTCCCACTCTCAGCTGATCTCGCTCTCAGCAGATTCCACTCTCAGCAGATCCCACTCTCAGCGGGTCCAAATCTCAGTGAGTCCCACTCAGCAGGTCCCACTCTCAGCGGATCTCTCTCTCAGCAGATTCCACTCTCACCGGAGTCCCCTCTCAGCGGGTTCGTCTTACACAGCTGATTCTTCCCTCTTCTTTCCAACACTTTTTCTCGCCTCACTTTTGCTTTCCCTTTTCCTTCACAGACCCTTTCGACAACTCTAGATCCCTAGTGCAGGAGTGTCCTAGGATCAATCCTGCCACCCTGCTCTCCCTTGTCTAGACCCCTGACTTCCCATCCTATCCAAATGCTGATGATCTGCAATTGTACAACTTGATATTTCCACTGAGATGTCTAACGGGAATCTCAGATTTAAGATGTCCAAATTGAACTCCTTTCTGTGAATCTCACCCTCCACATCCATTTCCGTGTTACCACGACTCACCCAGAAGCTCCAACCAAAAATCTAGGTGTCATCTCTACCTCCACCCTTTCCTTCTCACACCAACCATGTCAAACCCAACTGCATGCTGGATTTGATGCTAACTTTATTTTTGAGAGGGAGTCTCATTCTGTTGCCCAGGCTGGAGTGCAGTGGGGCGATCTCAGTTCACTGTAACCTCTACCTCCCAGGTTTAAGTGATTCTCCTGCCTCAGCCTTCCTAGTAGCTGGGATTATAGACGTGCACCACCACAACAGGCTAATTTTTTCTTTTTTTCTTTTTTTTTGTATTTTTAGTAGAGACAGGGTTTTATCATGTTGGCCAGGCTGGTCTCAAACTCCTGACTTCAGGTGATCCACCCTCCTCAGCCTCCCAAAGTGTTGGGATTACAGGCATGAGCCACCGCACCTGGCCTGACGCTACCTTTAAATTGTGGTTTGAATCCATCTGCTTCTCTCCACCTCCAGCATTACCTTAGACCAGGCCACCATGACCATTTTTATAATTAGATCACCTCCAGTAAACCTTTCACTAACTACCCAGTCTCACGTAGTCCTTCTGGCATGACCAAGACCTTCTGTTTTAGGCTCGCCATTGAACTTACTGCTATTTTTACTTGGGGTTTTTTGGTATGTTTTATATTTATTTATTGTCCCCCCACCATACCCAAATAAGACAGGTGTGGCACAAGGTTAGCCTGTTACTTGTTTGTTCATCAGTTGTCCCTAGGCCCTCACAGAATGCAGTCACTAAAGCGTCACCTGAATGAGGTGAAGGAATGAATGAAAATACCACATAGTTAAGGCAGATGCTCACGATTAAAAATTACAAACGCCTGCCCTCCCCTTTTCCACTCTGTCTAAGGAATTAAAAGAAGAAGTGTCCCTAGGACATAGAAGCCCCCAAGGTCAAGTTCAGTGCTCTCATGTCTGGGTTGTCTTTGAGGCCACAGATTCGCCACTGCACCAGTGCTTTTTATTTAAAAATTTTTTTTTTCTGAGATGGAGTCTCGCTCTGTCACTCAGGCTGGAGTGCAGTGGTGCGACCTTGGCTCACTGCAACCTCCACCTCCCGAGTTCAAGCAATTCTCCTGCCTCAGCCTCCTGAGTAGCTGGGATTACAGGCATGTGCCACCACGCCCAGCTAATTTTTTTTTATTTTTAGTAGAGATGGGGTTTCACCATGTTGACTGTGCTGGTCTCGAACTCTTAACCTCAAGTGATTTGCTGCACCAATGCTTTTTAAAAATGGGGATATTGGCTGGGTGGAGTGGCTCATACCTGTAATCCCACACTCTGGGAGGCTGAGGCAGGAGGATCGCTTGAGCCCAGGAGTTCAAGACCAGCCTAGGTAACATAGTGAGACCCCGTCTCTAAAAAAAAAAACCAGAAGATTAGCCAGGTGTGGTGCACATCACATCTGTTGTCTCAGCTACTTGGAAGGCTGAGGCAGGAGGACCGCTTGAGCCCAAGAGCTAAAGGCTGCAGTGAGCTGAGATTGCTCCACCACATTCCAGCCTGGGGGCAGAGCGAGACTCTGTCCATAAAATTAAATAAAACATAAAAATGGGGATGTTACTCGAGGGTAGTGTTTAAAAGCATGGGCCTTGGAGTCACTTTCCAGGTTCATACCTGCTATAGGATCTTAGCCTCAACGTGCCTCAGTTTCCTCACCTGCAAAGTGGACAAAAGTACTTACCCTCAAAGGACTGTGCAGAGGATTCTAAATTACTATGAAATACAGAGCAGCGGCTGGTTCAGGAATTGCTCCCCCGTCTTTCTTCTTAGGAAAACTAGGGCTGGTAATTCCTTGCAGGCTTTTACCATCTCTGCTGCCACTCTGGACTTCCCGACATCGCCAAATTTCGGCCAACGTCTCAGCTGGTTATGACAGAAGGGTCACCACCTCCACGCTGAAAGTGGCAACTGCAGGGCCACAACCTAGTGAATTCTCCCAGTGTCCTAAAAATGGCACCCTTCTAACTCACCAGGCGTCAGAGAGAATTAAACCAAGTCCTCAAATCCACAGAGAATATCAGCATCTGCTTGAACAAAACCAAACCAAATACTTTTGATCTTGCAGTGAAATCTGCTGCCTCAAAATGGTTCATCTGAAATCACCTGCTAAGGAGAAATGATGGTTTGGGGTTAATAATAGCCAACATGATTTTTGCCAGTTAAAACAATTCACAGACGCCTTGGCTTTGGGAGCAAGGCTAGATGGATGGAGTTCTTGTGTTAGAGCATATTCACCATGGAATTCAGTATTGACGTTCTCTAAGAGAATGCAATCAGTAAATCAATTTGGTTGGGGAAAAAACTGACCCAGGACTTTCTGAATAAAGGTAGGCTCAATCAACTTGTGTAGTACTAACAGCTAGAAAAATAATATTCATGAAGATGGAAAATACAATAAAAGTAGCAAGGCCCTAGGGTATATAAAATCAAATTATAGTATATCATGAAGTTGTACTGATTCTGATGGCTAAATGCCCCCAGCTATACGTATTCCCATGGAGACTACCTTGTTCAAAGGAACAAATTGGAACTGTTTTAAACAGTAAAGAGGCATTATATAACCAAGACAATCCTGAGATTTCAAATATGTTTTTCTTCTGCCTGGTTTTTCCACATTCCACATTCAGGGGTCAGACTGGCTGATGCACTAGCAACCCAGCTTTCAACAGAAATATGCAGGTTCCATTGATTAGATGCTCAAGAATGATAACTTCTAAGGAATTTTTATATATTCAGTATGTCGTACTAAATAGATGAAAAGAGTTAAAACCCTACATTACTGTCTGTCTTCAAAATTCTCACTGGGGGGAAAAAAAACCCTCAAAAACTCAAACTCCACAATTAACCCAATTCAGAATTTTAAATGAGGCATGTATGAAGCAAACTCAGCGCTGGAGAATGTTCTCTAAATCTGAGGAGAAATAACATTTACACTTAGAACAGAGGCATGTTTGAAACCTTTTATTAAACAGGCAATGCATTGTGCAGTGGTTAAAGACACAGATGCCTAGTGGAAAAGTTTAAAAATTATTTTTGGAAACAGTCTATGAATTGATGAACCCTGCCATGTTCCTTCATCTCCTTCTCAGAGTGGCTGCCTTTAGGAAAACAGATTGTTTTATAGCTGCTCTTGGAAACGGCATCTCTGTTTCGCCATGAATGTCATGCCTCGTAGTAAACATGAGAGAAGACAGGATCCACAGGCAAGACAGCGACCAGAGACATGGGCTGATGTCAGCTGGAAGCACAGATGTCCCTTCTCCTAGAACGGCTTCTCTTCTAGCCTTTGCTGGGTGTCCTACTTACGCGTCCAACTTCATTTCTGTTTTCTTTCTTGTCTGAGGCTTCTTCATCAAGGGAATTCTAAAAGACACACGTACCTTTGGGCACAGGAACTGGTTCCTGGATCTTTCAGTGTTGTTCTTGTTTCTGGGCCCTCTGGCCCAGGAGTATGGCTGTGTGTTGATCCTCTTTGTTTTGCCTGGTTCCTTCCTCTTCCCCAAGTTCGTCATAACTTGATGATAAAATCAATCTTTAAGTTTCACGGTCTGTTTGCCACAATATACTGGCAGTTTTTTAACTAAGTGGCTTGTCAGGGTAGTGGACATGCTTTATCAGCACACTGCCCACCTATTTTATAATCTGGGGCATGTCACTCCAGGCTTGAGATTTCTTTCTGGCAAGTTCCATCCAGGATGGCTGATCTGTACTGGCATAACTGGCTCTCTTCAGCTGATGCAATTCCTTCTCCATCATCACTGCAGACTGAGCTGCTTGGAAGGGAGACAAAACAAACAGAAACATGAGCAGCGACTTCGGATTTTCCCTTAAGCCTCTTGCGTTTCTTGAAATAGACGTCGAGGTCTTAACTGTGTTCTCGAACAGAAAATTCAATAATATGTGAACATGCAAGGAAGATTTGGGCCTAGAATATGTCATTTATGTGATAAAAAGACTTACGAACAAGTTCAAACAATTCTGGCAGTGCAATGAGGTGAGAGAGACTTTGGAAATAAAATGGCAGGAGCTCTACAGATGGGCTGCACAACAGTGTCCGTCTACTTAACACTACTGAACTGTTCACTTAAAAATGGCTAAGATGGTAAATTCTGTCATGTGCCTTTACCACAATTAAAAAAATATAAAAATTTCCATATATATGCATTTTTGTATATATATATGTATATTTGTGTATATATATGTATGTATGTGTGTATATATATGTATTTTTTGAGACAGAAGTCTTGCTGTGTTACCCAGGCTGGAGTGCAGTGGTGCAATCTCAGTTCACTGCAATCTCTGCCTCCCGGGTTCAAGCGATTCTCCTGCCTCAGTTTCCCAAGTAGCTGGGATTACAGACATGCACCACCATGCCTGTCTAATTTTTTTATTTTTAGTAGAGATGGGGTTTTGCATGTTGGTCAGGCTGGTCTTGAACTCCTGACCTCAGGTGATCCGCCCGACTCGGCCTCCCAAAGTGCTGGGATTATAGGTGTAAGCCAAGGCGTCTGGCCTAAAAATTTTTAAATATCGATACATGCAACAACAAAGGCATATCTTGAAGATGCTATGTTCAGTGAAAGATGCCAGATTAAAAAGGGCACATACGTTAGGATTCCATTCATTAGAAATGTCCAAAAAAGGCAAATCCATAGAGACAGAGTAGATTAGTGGTTGCCTAGAGCTAGGAGTGGGAGTGGGACGTGACTGTAAATGGGCATGAGGTTTCTCTTTAGTGTGAGGGAAATATTGTAAAATTAGATTGTCATCATAGCTGTGCAACTCTGCAAATACATACCTGCTCACTGTCAATATACAGTCATCCCCTAGTGTATGCCGGGGATTGGTTCTAGGACCTCTCCCACCTGCATACACCAAAATCTATGAATACTCAAGTTCTGCAGTCAGCCCCGTGGAACCCGCATATGCAAAAAGATGGCCCTCTGTTTTCTCAGGTTTCACATCCTAAGGATACAGGTAATTTTCCATCTGGGTTTGGCTGGAAAACAGTCAGCATTTAAGTAGACCTGTACAGTTCAAACTTGTGTGTTCAAGGGTCAACCTTATACTTAATGAACTGTACAATTAAAATGGATGAGTTTTATGACATGTAAATTGTATCTCTGTAAGAGCTGAGTAGAAAACTCAAGGTGGCAAGTAATTCGCAAAAACCAAACCAAACCAAAACCCGGACTGCAGGAACGACCCAGGAAAATGATTTCAAAGTATGTAGTCATGTTTGCAGATTTCATACCCAAGTTCTGATGGGACAAAGAGATTCCTCTTTGCAGCCCCTCCTTGAGGTTGAGCTTTGCCCCCTGCTTCCGGTCCACAGCGGGCTTCACAGGGGTTATCAGGAAAGACTTGCTGCGGACAAAGTCAGCTTGCTTCACAGGCTCCTGTTGGGACACAAGACACACGCTGCCAAGTCACCAGTGATTCAGACAGGGGCAAACACACCCGAAGTGAAGGAGCTGCAAGGCTGCCCGTCCAAGATGCCTGCACTGCTGGCACTTTCTTGGGAGGGCACCCTAGTGTCAGCTCACTAACACTGAGTGGTCAGATGCTGGTGCTCAGACCAGCACGCGGCCTTATCCTGGCACACGCATGCATCACGGCTTCCTTCCTGTCCCCACACCTGGCTTCAGGGCCAGATGGCAGATGGCAGGGATCCCATTTGGCAGTGAAGATGATTTGTTTAGAATCGATTTGTGATTTTTATGACAGTTGGTATAGTTACAGATGTCCCAAACTGGTTACTACTTGTTTTCTAAATGCCCCACGCCTGCATGAGGGTCTTCGAGTCTGGGTATAGTGGAGGTTCTAGTTAAAACGAGGGGAAGCAGGTCCTACTGCAGGCTCAGGCTCTCTTCCCCACATGGCTGAAACACACAGATTTATCATGGTGCTATTGGGGGATACAAAAATTGTGAGTCTCGGCCTGATTCTAGGCATAGTTGTTTGGGCTGGTGAAAGCTGCCTTCGGTTCAGAGTGCAAAATGAAACCACAGGTTCCAGCCCTGCAGCCCCAGGTGAGGAATGAGGAGCTCCAGCATGTGGCCGGTGGAGCAGCAAAGAGCAGGGCTCACTCCTCACAGCATGATGAGCTGGGATGGAGCTGTTGACATCATTGCTGTGTGTCTAACTCAGAAGTTATTTTAACCTCCTTTCATTTTTCTAGATGCTGAGCTGCTGCGTTGCCAAGGAGGCAGGGAGTAGAGAGCTGTCTGCACCGCCGAAGTGACTCACGTGCTTCCCTGTATCCCAACAGCTCAGCATGTGCAAAGGCAGGCAGAATGCTCCACCATGGAGGTTAGGATTTGGCAAGTCATTTATTTTGCTTCATTGGCCCTCGACCACACATCCACAAGCATCACAGGTGATGGTCCCTGTGACGCCCATGCAGGACATGTGGTCCTTATGGGGTCCTCGCCCCAGCCCCAGCTGGCTGCTCCCTCCTGCACCCACAGAATGGAAAGCATCTGCTCTAAGCAACGGGGCTCTCTCGGGCACCTTGGCTTGCTTTCCTGGTTCAGACTTCAGGGTCCGTGTCCCAGGTTTGTCTTCCTGGTTGGGGGGCTGGTCCAAGGTCCCTCGCCGCTTCTGCCGAGTGACGGTGATCCAGGGTGGCACAGGCTGCCCATCAGCTCCAGGCCCTGTTGCTGCAGGCGGCAGACCCTTTTCTGTTGGGTAAAAGCACAAGATTATAGAAACAGTCCTGTTCCCTCTTCGGTTTCACGCTTTGTGTCTCCCGCACAGTGAACATTACTGCTTTGGTTCAGGGTTGCAGGGGGTCTGGGAGAGCGTTACTTTCTTTAGCGGACTTTGTTTTCTCGTTAAAGATGCATCAGAGAGATTATGCTCCTCTAGTCTGAGTCACAAAAAATTAAATGCAACTGCTTCTATAGGGTCTGCGTGTACTTAAGCCAACTTCCTCCTAGGAATCCTTTCTGGAAGGAGATAAAAATAAGTACACAAATAGATATAATTTCTTTAATATAATCCTGTCATTGTGGACATACTACCCGCTTCCTGCTCAAATGTTGTAGACGCACTATTAACCTCTTGTCTTCTAACAACTGTGAGCATAACCTTCCCTTTGTGGAGAGAGTGACACCAAAGGCTGGTCACAGTTGCTTTCCTTAATGTTCTAGAGAGAAAAGAAATAGTGCCTTTGAAACCATATGTTGGCCAGGTGCAGTGGCTCATACCTGTAATCCCAACACTCTGGGAGGCCAAGGCGGGCGGATCACCTGAGGTCAGGAGTTCCAGACCAACTTGGTCAACATGGCAGAAACCCATCTCTACTAAAAATACAAAAATCAGCCGGGCGTGGTGGCAGGTGCCTGTAGTCCCACCTACTTGGGAGACTGTGGCAGGACAATCGCTTGAACTTGGGAGGTGGAGGCTGCAGTGAGCCAAGATCACGCCACTGCACTCCAGCCTGGACAAGAGTGAGACTTTGTCTCAAATATAAAAATAAAACTAAAAAACACACCATATGTTTTGTTGACTCTCCTTCCGTATTAACTGTGCTTATCTTTGGATGGTGAAACTGTGGATCATTCCCCTCCTCTTACATTTCAACTCTTCTGTATTTTCATATTTTCTACAATAAGAATTTATTACCTTCATCAATAGAAAAAGGAAATCTGTGGATTAAATAAGTGGCTTTTCTTTTTTTTTCTTTCTTTTTTTTTTTTTTTGAGACAGGGTCTCACTCTGACACTCAGGCTGAAGTACAGTGGTGCGATCAAGGCTCACTGCAACCTCCACCTACCAGGCTCCAGTGATCCTCCCACCTTGGCCTCCCCAGCAGCTGGGACTACAGTCATGCACCATCACGCCCAGTGAATTTTTTGTAGAGATGGGGTCTCACCATGTTGCCCAGGCTGGTCTCGAATTCCTGAGCTCAAACAATTCACTTGCCTCAGTTTCCCAAAGTGCTGGAATTACAGGCTTGAGCCACCTCCCCTGGCCAATAAGTGGCTTCTTACAGGTACATCAAAAGCATAGAACCCAAGGTTCCCCATGAGCTTCTGGAGTTTGCCTGCCACGGGATAAAACAAAGGCTGAAACTGATCTCCAACCACCTGGCACCTCTCCTCGGTTCCCTTCTACAGTGCGCCTGAGTCAGCTGGGTGACAACAGCACCGTTTCACAGCAACACATGCAGATGTCCGGGAGGAGTTAACGTCACTGTTCTCTGTGGCCTGATGTATTCCACCCCTTGCTCTGGCGTGCAGAGGATATTACTCACTTTGTCTTTGTTTCTACTTCCAGTTCAGGCTGGAATTCTTTTCCCTTAGTGCCCTAGTCAACAAGGAGGTACTAGGAGGGGTGGCCACTGCTTTGCAAGCTACAGTCTCCTGCTGGGAGCGAGAAGAGCCTTCAGCCTCACACACCCAGGATCTCCCCTGGCCCTGGCAGCCAGGGACGCCTCCCACTCCTTTTTCTGGCTGCTCCCTGGGGCCTCCACCGGACTGGCCCCCTGGGAATCCTGCTCCACCTCTTGGACTCATCCTACCCCTTTCCTGACTCTTCAGTCTCTCCCTCTGCAGCTGTGCAGAATGCTTTGGTCTTCCATAGCTTGAAGTCTCCATGGAGCCTCACTGTCCCCTGAAGGCCCAGTTCTCCCTTCTCCTCTACCCTTAGCTCAAATGGCCTCTGCCTGTCTCGTCAGCCACTTCCTGAACCAGCCACGAGCTGACACCACTGTTTGCATCCTCCCAACCAACAAACCCCAAATCCCAAGGTCAAACCTGGTACTCAACCTGCTTCACCCCTGCAGCTCTGGTGTGGCTGCACATCTGCACATCCTCTCTGGGGGAGCCTGCCCCCTGAGGCATCCCTCCAGCCTCTGAGGCCCTTCTCCAGGTCCTTGTCTGAGTTTTTTTCCTAATCTGGAACTCCTGCTTGCTCCTGACCCTCAGCCGTCATCGCTTCCTTCCAGCATTCTCTCTTCTACTCCTGATCCAACAGGCAAAACTGCTGAAATTACTAATACTTCCTAGTGTACAATCCAGTCCTACTTTCTATTCCCAGCCAGAGCCCAGCATTTCTATTCTCCTGTTTCACCTTTCTTCTTTCCATTCATTCAGTGTTTGCTATGGGCAAGGACTGCTTTATATTTGAGGTGGGAAAATAAACAACAAATTGTTCCTTCAAAAAGCTCAAAATCTAGTTGGGGAGACAAGATGCAAACAAGTAACTGTGGTAGAAACGAAAATGCTAAAATTTACAAAGGGCTATGCGGACACAGGGCCTATCACTGGTGAGTGGGAGTAGGCGTGCTTCTGGGTTGGGATCTGGAGAATAATCTTCCAGGCTGGCGATGGGGGCAGGTGGAGGAGTTGTGTAAACCAGTCCCAAGGATGGGTCTTTTCTGTCTTTTTTTTTCTTTTGTCCATCATGGGGGAGCTGTGGGGGTTTTAAACCATGGGCTCACTCTGGAGGTTGTGTGGAGAATCAGTCTGACTGTGGAGGGCCGAGAGGCTGGGACGCTAGGAGGGAGGCTGTGGCCACAGCTCAAGAGAGTTGACAAGGGCTTGGAAGTCCTGTTCTAGAATCCTCCCTGCTGGTTCACTAGGGCCCCCAGACACTACCTCCTCCATCAAGTCTGTTCTGGTCAGTCTCTCTCCTAAGTCTTCTGCAACCTCTTGAGAAACCTGCCTCACTGTGTTTGGTACTAGACATATTTGCTAGCTGACCATCTACCCCACTGAAGTATACCTTTGGTCATAAGCATTTCTTACTACCGAACAAACACACGCCATAGACTATGTGCAGATACAGTTCTAAACGCTGAGCTTGGCAAGAGGTAAATTTTCTTTTCCTTACATCAAGAGCATGCTGGCAGAATTCCATCCCGACCACAAAAAGGTCACCTGCTGCTGCCTGTCTGTGGGGTAGGAATGTTTCCAGCTGTACTGTGTGTGTAAGCGTGTGTCCGTGTTCACATGCAGACCCACAGGAGTGGGTGGGTGCCCTGGCTGGGCCAGGCTGTGCTGCTGTGGGGTAAGGCAACCTGCAATAGCAGCGTCACCAAGCAGTGGGCCAGTGTATGACCACACCACCATTTCTCTCCTTTTTAGTTCCTGCCTCTTTCCCTGCAACTGCCGGTCTTTCCTTTTATTCTGTATTCTCTTCTTTCTCACCTTTTTCCTTGTCAGGAATGCAAGACCCTTGTAATCTCCAGACCTTGTTACAGGGACTGTCCAGGGCCACCCTCATAGGCAGAGGAGTGCAGGAATGGCAAATGGGGGTCCAGACACCAGGAAAAAGGCAGAAAACCCACTCCAACTCCCTAATGTAGTTCACAGATGCCTGAGATTCCACCTGGAGCCTCCCAGTGGGTAAGCTGAGAAAGGGGTGATGGGCTGAGCATCACCTTCCACAGTGCTGAGACTCAGAGATGCTGCGCCTTTGTCCCCAGTGAGCACAGGCAGAGCAGCTGTGTGATGAGCCACCCTGCTCTGTGGCAGGGGCCTAGCAGGCCTCTCCGAACTGTATGCTCGCCTCCTGTGCTTGGCACCCACACTGGCAGTGCAGGAGCTCTGGGATCTGCACAGCACCATACTCCACCTGGGGAGGGCAGGAGAAGGGGCTGAAGCCCCTGGCAATGTGCGGGGTAAAGGCAGGCTTCAGAGGCCAAAGACCTTACAACGTGACCGCTCAAGCATGAACATTCAGGGTCGAGGCTGCACCACAAAATAGCTTCTGAGATTAAACATGTTCAAATGTCATTAATCCCGGGATAATGTAGATGTGGCCTCAGCTCAGATAAATCAGTTGAAAACACTCTTTTGTTTACCTCTTCCTGCCTCCATACACAGACAACCTTAATCTCCCGGGGATTTGGCTAAAGACTCTGACATCTCTTCTCCTCTCCAACTGGCAATGAGTTCAAGCTGTCAAGTGTGCTGGGTTTGCAGCAAACAGCCCAGGAGCATTTCTCACAGGCCAGGGACCAGCAATTCCGGGTCTGTGTCTGTGTGAGCGCCTTTGCGGATTGTGGAAGAGCCAGATTCCCCGTGCAGTGCAGCTGCCCTGGGAGGAAGGGTAGCAAGTTTGGTTTGCTGCAGGGCAGATGCAGCAGGACTCCTCTGAAGGCATGGTGCAGAGGGTGCAGGAAGCCGGGACGGCAACAGAGCTCCTCCCGTTTAACTCATAGGACACCAACTTTGGATCAGAGAAAACAGTATGATGTCATTTAAGGATAGGATTCCTTCAAAGGAGCAGGTGGTAAGCTTGTTCCTCTCCAGATTCCTCTTTCTCCTTAACATGCCCCCTGCAGTCCAGCATCGATTCTGAAAAGGACGTTGCTCCAGCACTAACTTCTGAGGGCCCCTGTTCTTGGGGTTGGGCTCAACGGGCTGTGCTAATGAAGAATGTTTCCTCCCTGGGGCCAGGGCAACGGAGCTGCTAACGATGTGGCCCTGGGGCCCGCAGAGCTAGTTTAGGGCCCCAGGCTAGTGCTCTTGGGCAAATTCCAGGACCTCCCTGAGACTCACTTCGGTGTAAAATGAAGAAACAGAAGCCTCTACACCTCCCCGTCAGACTGTAAAGATTCCATGAGATAACCCACTGTCTACACCTCCTGCTGTGGTCATGAAGATTTCTTGACATAACCCACTATCTATACTTGCCAGTGCGGTGTGAAGATTCCATGACATAATCCACGACCTATGTCAGTGATTGTGAAGTGAAATAGCCACTGTCTACACCTCTCAGTGTGGTTGTGAAGGTCAGGTGGAACATTCACTGTCTACACTTCCCAGCATGGCTGTGAAGATTGTGTGAGAATCCAGGGAAAGCCGTTAGTGCGGTACCCGGTGTTAGCTGCTGCCGCCACAATAGCTGCTGTTGTTATGTGGTTGTTGCTAGTGTTGTTATCACTGTTCCTGCTGGAGGAGGGGTGGAGAATTTTGGTCAACCCTTACCCCGGAGCTGATGGAGACCAGTGAGCCATTCTGCCATGACAGTGAGCCCTCGTGGCTCTTGTGATAAGAAAAGCACGGCAAGCACTGGGTTGCACCCCAGCCTCTTGCAGGGCCAGGCAGCCAGGCTGACTCTTGGTTCCCTGAGAACATCGTCCATGGGTTCTAGCAGACCGTCTTAATGCTGTGTGTGTGCCAGTCTGCCTGCAAGCCCTGCAAGGGCAGGTGCCTCATCCTGGTCACATCTGCCACAGCGTGTGAGAGCCAGTGGGTCTGATCGGGGCTGCCCTGTTGGTGCTGCATCGTGGAGGAGCCTGGCCCAGGCCACACCAGTGTGCACCGTAGTCCCACTATCCACAGCAGCACTCTCTCCTCCATGCACATGCTGTGTGTTAGGTGAGCCTGGCCATCCCGGATGCAGGACACACTGCCCGAGAGGAGAGCCCACTTTTCATCTGCATTCTCAGGAATCACTCTTAACATACCCCCTCACACACAACTCTAAATACCCTGTACGAGAGAACCACGAAGTTTTCAGACGCACATTTGGCATTATTACTGAGCTATTTGTATCCGGGAAGATTTAAAACGAACCGTTTCAAAAATCCTCAGTGTTACACCGTTTCTAGAGATGTTCAACCACACCTACATGGGACAGGTTCGTTTCATCACTTCACTTTGACTTTCTGATTGGTGATGGTTAGTTCTTTTAGTGCCTATTAAAATTCAGCCTTAAGGTACTGTTTTTTTCCTTCAGAAAAACTTCTGTAATGACCAGTTGAGGGGCCAGGGTGGGACCCCAGTGGTGGACCACACCCTGTATGACACTAGGGACGTAGCTGTTAAGTCTGGAAGCTGAGGGCTATCAAAGGACACAGTCTCCCCAGAGGCAACGAGCTGTAGTACAGTGTAAATTCCCAGCTTCCTTGCCTTTTGACCTACGATATAAAGCAGAGGCTCTGCCTTAAGGTAAGGCGGCAGGATTTCCAGGCCTCTAAAAAATTTGGTATATGGTATCCTTTCTGAAGCAGCAACTTTTTCAGCCTCCCGAGTAGCTGGGACTACGGGTGCGAACCACATGCCTGGCTAATTTTTTTTTTTTTTTT